GGCGAAGTGGCCAGAATTATGGCAAGGGATAAAATGTTTCAGCAACAATTCATGATGGTAGCAGACCCAACGCTGTTTGCAGTATATAAACAAATGCAGAGCCAGACCAAATTTCCCTGGGCAAAATATCTCTCTCCGAGTCCCATGGAACTTTATCAACTTTTGGCCTTGACGAGGACACAAGTGCTGTTGGGAATGGCATATTCAAAGCCATTCATCTTGGACCAGGCATTAGAAATGAGCTTCAGGGTCATGGTCATACGCCAAGCACGATAGTATCACCCAATGCCGTGAGATATAGTGTTATTGCAATAAAAAGTATGCTTAACCAGATACTCAGAGTGCATAATAAAAAAGTCAAAGTTTCCATGATGTGGACCATGGTTTTAAAAGGTGCTTAAGAGGCAGGTTTTGAGGCCTGCATCATGGTGCAGCGTGCGTGATAAAATTAGAGCTTGCGCTATTCTTGTAAGGTAAGAGGCTTGCGCCCAAAAATGTCCATGTGCGGCTAGGGGCTTACTACCAAAATCATATTGAAACCAAGATGGGGAAGAACATTTAAAGCTAACTGAAAGTGCCCACCATGACCCTAGTAAGCCAGTCGCCAGCTGATGGAAACTGCCCATAATGGAGACCCAGTCGCCATTGATAACAATGATCACAAGTAAACGGGAGCCTTTGCTTCATTGAGACCAGAAGCCGTCTCTGAGATGATTGTGAACAAAATTGTGGCAGTCCCTGAGGCCATGAATAGAGTAATGTGGGGGCCAAGAAGTGTGGCTTTAATCTGTGGACCAGAGAACTAGACAAGTCTAAACATATGTGTACTTTTTTAAAATCATTAATCACGTATAATTTTTCTTTTCATTTTTAAAGTTAAAAAAAACAAGAAGATAACTTTCCTTGGCATTTCTTCCCTTTACCTGGCATTCTCTGGAATCCAAACATGTCCTAAGTTTGGTGATTTTTATATTGTGCATTGCTTTTATCCAATGTGTTCAAAAAGTCTTCTGTACAAACCAATCTCAGTTAAACTTTAATGTGGCTTGTGTTGTTTGAGCAAAATAAGTGAAATCCTAGTTATATTTAAAGCCCTAGGCTTAGATCACGACATATGCCATGTCATTGTTGCCTTTGCTCATAAGTCATAAGTTACCACTCAATTTGCCTTTATTTATTTATTACAGCTGTTTCTTAATTGCCTAACCTTCATATCAGCCAAATGAGATGGAAATAAGCCAATAGAATGGCCAATTTAACAGAATGTCTTGTGGAGTCCTCAATCTGTATTTTCTATAAAACTTTGTCTCACTTGACTGGGTGACAACCATTGTCGATCTAAGAACCAGCAGAAGGTTTTGAAGTGGTATTTCCTGAAGTCCTTTTAGTAGTGGATTAAGGCACCACATAATTGTTAATGGTCTCCATGTTTTTCCTTCAAACAAAATACTGAGAAAAAAATTATTTAGTTTGAACCAATGTTTTATCTCCCCTCCCGTTTTCATTCCTTCTAAGTTAACCCTACACTCTCCTTCATGATATTATTTCCCTAGCAACTTTTTATTTCTGAGCGGACACCTAAAGGTTAATTTAATTTGTCATTTAAAAAGATGACATGGATAAACAGATATGTATATACGTGTATGTCAATATATCCTTCTTATTCAATATTAGGTTCAATTTGGAGTATCGTGGTAAATATCGGAGTATCAAATAAACTACACAGCAAGCAACTGAAGCATTGCTGCATTAGTAGTAATGTAGTATAGTTATATCAAAACAGCAAAATGGGGATTGGGAACAACTAAAGAAGCTTTTTTTTAACTAAAGAACTTCAAATTTCTTAAGATACAATCTGCGTGTCTCGGCAGCTAGACAGCTTCCCAATCTCAAAACAAATGGATATAGGCAGGACAACTACATAAGTATGTCTTTGATAAAAACACTCAATTGTATGTAAACACATTTAAATTTAAATTCAAACAATAACGCAAGAACTCCGTCCACAAGGTATTGAAATATAGAAGGATGAGTGTAGAAAAAATACCCCACTCGTCTTCTTCCGTGGAAGGAGCGGACTGCACCAGAGACGGGTCCATGGAACTCAAACGATCATCGACCTGTGTTGCTCACTTACACAACGACTAAGCCGATGATCGGGGAAGGCGGTGATATATAATATGACCTGAGGGACAAAGAATCCAAAGCTTCGACTCCAATGTCATCAAAACCGAATCTTCAGGATTACGACGCAAAAGGAAACCGAATTAGTCGTTGCGTAACCCTAATCATGTTCCGCCATCTGGATCTTCACGGCGTTAACGTTGCCTAGCAGCGCCCCACGGCGAACTTTTACCTCGTGTATTACTCCGTTCTTGTATCTTTAAAATATACTAGTATTAATTCTTTCTCAAATAATTAAAGAATATGTTAAAATTTTAATTTGAGATATTCAATTAAAAAACAAAAACCCAATTAAAAATAGAAAGAATGGCATGAATATTACTCCTCAAGTTTCATTGGAAAAAAATAAGACTCTTTTAAAGATAGACACAAAAGTGACCCAGACTCTTCCGTGCTTTCAATAATTCGGCTTCCTGCTTCCGTCCTCATCGAACCACCACCGTCTAAGCTCAGCCAACGTATCCTTCGGGCTGGCCTTCTCTCCTCTGTCCTCGTCGCTGAAGCACCAACGCCCAAGTCCGCCGCCCGCATCCTTTCTTCTTCGCTGCTCATCTCTACCAATCTGCCATCATTGGTGACTTAGGATGTTTTTACTTGGACTGTAATTTGTCCCAGACCAGATCAGACCAAACCAGTCCAGACCAGACCAGACCAGACCAGTTCAGACCAGACCAGACCAGACTTGAATAGTTATAAAAATACAAAGAAACCAGACCTTACCAGACCAGACCAGACCAGTTCAGACCAGACCAGATCAGACCAGACCAGACCAGACCAGACCAGACCAGCAAATTACAGTCCAAGTAAAAACATCCTTACTTCATCGTTCTCCTGCTCTACATCACCGATACTTGATAGAATCAACAAAGACATCGTTGATAATTGATGTTAGGGTTTTGAATTGCAAACACGAACTGAAATTTTTATTTTCGATCTCCCAATTTCTGCATCTACCGTGACATCTTCGTTCCCCTCACTATCATCGTCGATGGAGTAAGATCAGCACGCCGTATTTCTGTTGTAGAGTTTCCATGCTGGAGGAAGAGGCGCCGCCGGAGTAAGATTAGCGTCAGCGGACTGATTCTCTCGCCGGAGATGAAATTAAAGTTGTGGTGTTGGAGGTTTGATCTTCGGATCTGCCATCAGACTGCAGCAAGACTCCCCACGTTTTCCAACGGGAGAGGAAGCCACCAAGTGCTGGGTGAGGCAGGGGGTTGGGGTGACGTAGGGGAGGGAGCTGGGGTGATGTAGAGAGGGGGCTGGGTGAGATGGGGGCTGGGGGAGGCAGGGGAGGGGTATGGTGGGGCAGGGGCTTGGGTATGGTGGCTGCCAGCGTTGGGGATGGTGCAAGCTGGGGCGTGGGGCCGGTGAGGTTAGGCGGTTATCACTGGATGAAGCGGTACGACAGCGTAATTGAGCGGTGTGGGCGGCAGTGTGGCCTGTGGAATGGCTACAGTGACACGGGCGGTGGCCGCAGTGACACGGGCGGTGGCCGCAGTGACACGGGCGGTGGCCGCAGTGACACGGGCGGTGGCCACAGTGACACGGGCGGTGGTTACAGTGACACGGGCGGAAGCGGCAGTGACACGTGCGGTGGTGGCAGTGACATTTGATAGTGACATTAAAACAAGATAGTGACATTAAAATCTGAGAATGACATTAATATGACCTTCTTGATCACTTTTTTGCCCCTTTTCAAAAGTGCTCACTTTTTTGATAATGAGTTCAAAATTACTAATATTCAAATAAAAACCCCTTAAAAATATGATAAAAACGTAAACAGATATATGTAATAAAAAAATGTATTTTATATGTTTGGGTTGAAAAAAATGTTTGAAATCGAGCTAAACAAATAATGAAAAATTGAAATAAAGTCAATATATAAATAAATAAATGAATATATAAATACAGAAATGAATAAGTAAATATATAAATAAATAAATGATTAATTAATAAACTAAAAAACAAATAAGTAATAAATAAATAAATAATAAATAAATAAATAAATATAAATAAATTAATAAATTTATAAATAAATTGATGAATTAATAAATTAAATAAATAAATAAATAAATAAATAAACCAATAAATGAGTGAATAAAAAATAAAATTTATTTACTTTATTTTTTATTCATTTATATGTTTATTTATCCATTCATTTATTTACTTATTTATTTATTTGATTATTTTCATGTATAAATATAATATAAATATTGTACAAATAATTTTTTTTTATTTGGCTCGAACTCGAGCATATTATTGTACTTGAACAAATAAAAATTAATTTGTGAAATTTGAACCGAACTCAAGCCTTAATCGGGCTAAGCCTAAGTTCGATTGAGACTGTATAAATAATTTTTCCTAAATAAACTTTTAAAACTTTTTACGTTAAGAATGCAAGGTTTTTTAATAATTTGTGCGTTGAGTTATAGGTTAAAATCTATACTATGTTATAGGTTAAATAACTTTAAATGAGAGCATGTACCAAAAGAGCATGGTAGCCCAATGGTCCTTTCTTTACTAATGAGTGATGGGTTGTGGTTTCAACTCCCATTGTTGAGATACCTTTTTAAGGTGACAACTCTGGTACTCAACTAAAAAATAGGGCACCGTACCTATCATTCATTTGATTGGACCAAACCAATTTATAATTTTTACTTTAGATTTAAATAATTCAACTGCTACATTCTTATTGGTCCATGTGGACAAAGGTATTGTACCTTATGTATACCATAGAATCTACCTTTTTTTAATAAGCAAAACACATCTAGAATTGATGATATGGGATGACTAGTAACTTGTGTCATAAGTGACGTGGTAGGTAGAGTGACATGGCAATAAAATACTCTATTTTGGGAAATAGGTTTAAAAGTACCATAGTTTGGAAAATAGGTTTAGAAGTGCCTTAGTTTGGGAAAAAAACTCGTCATATGGTAATATTTTGGACAATCTTTCTTAAACAAAAGCAAATGAAGTAAACTTAAACTAAAACAAACTTAAACAAAAAGCAACTATGGAATTTACAGGAGCAACTCTTATGTTTGCACCTTTACATTCCTTATCAAAACAACAATGAGCAGCCTATGGTTTCTCCAACTTTTCCAGAGCACGATCCAGACCTGCAAACTGTGTTCCCCATTGTCTAGGAACAATGAGCCGGATGCAGGATTCCATATCTTCCTTTGTCATCCCAGTGGACTGAAAAACACTTTCCAGTGTTGAAAATCTCCCTTTCTTCCAAGCTGGGGTCTTTGAATGAGCATCAAAACTTTGGTCCATCCTGTAGGCAATCATCAGCACATGATGAATTGCTGGCATCCTTGGCTTAGCAGGGCTTTCTGGCTTCATATGGTGGATATAATTGGCAACAAACTTCAAGCCTGAGTGAGCATGAATACCCCAATTGTCCTCTGTTTCTTCAGAAGCTTTGATTGTACAAGCCTTCACCACATTGCCTCCAAGCTTAGCAGGTGGTAGATTTCTGTGACATTGATGAATGACACAGAGAATTGAAATACAAGCTTGAAAGAGCTTTGGGGTCATAACTGGAATGACAATCCCATTCTTCTCTTCATCCTCCATTCCAACATTCACAAGCATACTTCTGGTATCAGTATCGCCATCTTGGCCTCTGATCAACAAACAGAAAAGCATGTCATTCTTAACTTCCAATTGAAGTGCCCTATGAGCAACTGGTAAGTTAATGCCTTTCTTGCAGCTCTGATTCAGACGGATCAGTTCATTTTTAATCGCTTCAGCACCTCCAACAGGAATTCTACGCTTAAAATCTCTGTCTTGAACGACAGCCAGGCGATAACATCCCTGCAGAAAAGACCTGCACTCCTCTGTATCCTTGGAGTCTTTGAATTCGTCATAAGCCAGATTCAAAGTTCGATTCAGGGCTGTGACGAAAGAATGAACATCAGTTGGGCCTCGAAATTCACTCACCTTCCGAGCATAGTTTATCACAGCTTCATAAGAAAGGACGGCGACCATGGGAGCTTCAGCCATTCTGAAATCAGATAAATTCAGAAGAATTGCGTTTGTAAACTTAAAACAAATGAACCGACCGTTGATTTTCTCCATGCTCTATTTTCATAAATGTATTGTACAAAATTGTGTGTGTACAAACAACTAGTCGGTCTGTTTGCAACAGCTTCTACTTTAAAAAGTGTTTTTTTTAATGAAATGGGGAGACGCGATTAAATAAAAGTTGATAGTGTTTGAGAAAAAAGTGATTTTTAAAAGTAAAAATTGGTAATGTTTCGTAAAATAAGTGTTTTTTGTGTAATAGAAAAAGTTAAAGCACTTTTGACACGAAAGACGTGGAAAAAAAAGTTGGTAGTGTTTGGTAAAATAAGTGTTTTTTTAAGCCAAAAACTGAGAAGTGCTTTTTTTAAAACATTTGCAAACCAACCTTAGAATTGTGTACACAAAAAAATACTCCCTCCGTCCCATTTTACCTGTCTTACTTTCCTTTTTGGGTTGTCCCAAAATAAGTGTCTTCTTTCCTTTTTTGGAAAGAAATATATGGTTCACATCATTTCACTTTATTATACTCAAACCTCAACCATAACTTTTACTTTTTCAACCACATCATTAATAACCGTGTCAAGTCAAACTAAGACACATAAAATGGGACGGAGGTAGTATAGATCAAGCATTTTTACTCTATTTTTAATTGCATGCACTAGCGAAGATTGGGCAGAGTTCACTACTTCAGGATTTTGATGTACCGAGTAAAAAAATTACTCCCTCTGTCCCGCTAAGATTGTCCCATTTTACCTTTTCGGGAAGTCCCACTAAGATTGTCCCATACCAAATTTGGTAAAGTTTGTGTGGCTCTAAATCATTCCTACTTTATTCTTACTTTATCAATTTAATATCAACCACACAAACCCACTTTTCTTAATAACCGTGCCACTTTTTCATGTCCCAATCTTAGTGGGACGGAGGTAGTACTTTCTATCTTCTTTAATAATTGCAACATTGTAATTCTTGCAACTATTTTACACACATTGCTTTAACCATAATTTTCTACTCACATATATAATCAAATCGTTATGTACTTCACATAAAATATTACTACCTCCGTCCCACTAATATTGAGACGGAAGAAGATGACACGATTATTAAGAAAAATGAGTTTATGTGGTTGTTATTAATTGATCAAGTATGAATAAAGTAAGAATGATTTAGAGTCACACAAACTTTACCAAATTTGATACGAGAGAATTTTAGTGGGATTTCCTGGAAAGGTAAAATGAAACAATAATAACGGGACAGAGACGTGTTAAATTTCTTTTAATGTCAATTTTCAAAATATTAACTTGTAATGTTTATTGGAATAATACATAATTAAATATAATTACAGTTAAAGTTATATGTTCCTAAACGCGAAATTAATTGTTGTAAAGTAAAAAAGGAGGGTGGTCATGTTTTTGTATATAAAATGTAATTCTTTCATACATGAATTAGCTGCACACTTATATAATAAATAATTAATAACAATGAATGGTAGAATACTTGCCATACTTACCAACGGATTATATTATTATAGCAAACGGAGTAATAATTATAGTTTTTTATAGAATAATTATTATAGTTACTAATTATTAAGTTAAAAATGAGAATATTAAAAGCCATAAATTGGCTGAAAAAGAGAAAACGGACGGGGATAGCAACGGATATATATCGTCGAGCTTCAATTTACATAGGGAGTATAATCTAGTCAATTGACTGCTATGTTCCTCCACCCACATAGAATTGTTGCCAGTAAGGCAGTAATGACATTAATTGTGCATGAAAAAAGAAAGGTAGTTTCTATAGTACTCATAAAGTACCATACCGTTGTTCACATGGACTAATGAAAAGTTAGCAGTTGAATTATTTAAATCTAAATTTAAATTGATAAAGTGATGTGGTCCAATCAAATGAATGATAGGTACGGTACCCCTGTTTTTAGAAAGGTACCGGAGTTGTCACCAAGAAAGAAAACCAAATAAATACTCCGTAAGAAACAACGGTACAAATGCTAATACGTTAAATGCCAACAAAGAAACAACTTAGGGAACATCATTGTCCAATTTTCCAAATTTTAAAATTAAAATAAGAAGGATAGAGAAAAGAAGTTCTAAGTATTGCAGTCATGCCAGTGTAAATAGCTTTGCAGTCACCTGATTAATATTTTGTTTTCATAATACGGAGTACAATCTTTCTTCCCTAACACACTCATTTTAATTATTAATTAATTTTAATGCATGTACGTAAATATGACACTTATAGTAAGTATTCAAAATAATAAAAATAACAATGACAATTAGAGCCCGTTTGGTAGCACGAAAATCGGCTGTTGTGGCTGATTCTGCTGAAATTTATAAAGTTCTGGCTGAAGTGGCTGCATTGACTGATTTTGCTGATTTAAGAAAAAATTATATTTAAAATATATTTTATTAATAAAATAAAGAAAAAATTATATGTAAAAATAGCTAAAAAAAAGTCATCTACAGTAACTTCAGCCAATACAGCCAGAAAAAAGTAACTTCAACCTTACCTTTTCAGCTTATTACATAATTCAGCGCGCGAAAGAAAAAATTACGTGTTTGGTGAAAAAGTTGACTGATAAGTCTGATAAGCCGAAAAATAGTGTTGTCAAACGGCCTATTAGCAAAAGCCTATTTCCCAGATTTCGATGAATTTGAACTTTATCAGTTTTATTTAGTGAATCGGCCATAATATGTTTTTCAAAAATGGCGCACGCATTAGCTAGCAAATCAATCTAAAATGTTCAAATAAAAGACGAAGTAAAAAAGCCAACAATATGGATGCATGATAAGAGTAAACACATTGATACTACGTCCAACAATTATGGACGTAGTATAATTTCTTTTCAAACTAATTTGAATGAACAATTTTGTACATATTACCAATAATAAAAGTTGATCTTGTGTTGCAGCCTTGCAGGATTGAGATTTGAGGATATGAGATGACAAGCGAGTAAAAGAGAGGAATTATTTTCTTTTGGCAATATACCACGTATACAATACTCTAAATTTATAATCAAGGTTATAGCTTTTGTTGATACCCAAAGAGAAGCTGCCGCTGGTCCTCAGAGCTGGGCAGAAGGGTTTATGTGATTATGTCTCTGGCTGATGTTCAGGGGCAGTCGCAGAGAATATGAGGCCGCAAAAAATTAAAGCACCGTAAAAGGTATACAAACAAAACTAATAAACAAAATAGTTGCACTGCTTTAACGAATGATTATTAATGTTTCAATGTTTTTTTGGAACATTCTTCTAAACCTATTATAATATTTGTTCTAGTTAATATCAACATCCTAGATTGGGATGAAACTCGAACTTGTGACCTCTTTGGAAGATGAGCAGTGATGTACCACAAAGTACTTAGTGTTTCAATGTTATTATATACTTTCTCAATGATGGTCAAGTTTGAACCATTATATTTTTTAAAATCGAAACTATTTAAAATATAAAAGTTACATGAAAAAACTCATTTGTTAAAATTATTTTCATAAGAGTATAAATTTACAAATTTCACACAAATATAATAACTAGAATTTAACAAATTTTGTGGGATGGGAATAGTAGTTTTATATGTATTGGAATTCTTCCTTTTCCCAATACAAAACATTATCAAATTGATTGTAGTCTAAATAGAATTGCAAATTTGCAATTTTTAACAATCAGCACATTAAAAAGAATAAATAGTACAATAATCTCTCCTTTGAAGTTGCAAGAAATATTTGAATATTTCAAGATAATATAAATATAATTTTTAGAAATGAATAACTTTTTATAATCAATTATAATTGCTTTAGTACATTAAGATCACTGTCTTATTATTTAATGAAAACCATTAAAAAATCTCTAAATTTAATAATACAAGAATATAAATTCATCAGTAGGATTTTTCACATTACATTAACATGTCTATATAAGTTTAATAATACAAGAATATCACATATATGTATATATAAATTTAACATTATAAATCACTTACTTTAAAAAGGATATTCAATATTTTTGAACAACTAAATAAAAAAGTTAACAAACTTGGGTCGCTCAAAGGTAGGACATATTAATATTTATTTATGTCATTATCAATTTCATTACTATTTATTTATTTATTTATTTATTTATTTATTTATTTATTTATTTATTTACTTAATTAATTAAAATTATACTTTTTATTGAAAAAAAGATGCAAAAATGGGGCCCTTTAGAGGTGGAGGCCCTAAAAAATGGGGCCCTTTAGGCATGGTGCCTAGGGTAACTCCCCCAAAGACGCCCCTATTGATGTCTCTCCACAATATATTATTAAAAGAAACTTAGTTAAAGGATTACAAGGTTGCTTAATTCTAATGTTCTCACCCTTCAAAATTTCAACTTAATGGAAAAAACCAATAAACAGTAGATTGTCTCTCTTGGGAGCACGACGAGTAGGGGTGAATTCGGGTCAGGCCACCCGGCCCGTGAACCGGCCCGGCCCGCTACTGTGCGGGCCCGGGACCAGCCCGGTTCTCGGGTCCGGGACCGGGTGGTTAACCGAACCGGGGGGGGGCAGCGGTTCCGGGCTCGGGGTACAGGTTTTGGCGACCCGGCCCGGCCGGGTCAGGCCCGGGTCCGGGTCCCAACGGTTGGATTTAAAAAAAAAAAAAAAAAAAAATCTTTTGGGCTCAAAAGAGCCGTTTGGCCCTTGACCCACAACCCAAACGGTTATATAGTTGTTGGGTGGATACCGGGGGGGGGGGGGGGTCCAGGCCTTTTGGGGGGGTGGGGGGTTTTAAAAAAAACTATAAATACTCCTAATTTTAAACATTTTTCTACATCTTCTCCAACTGTTCCTAAATCCTACTCTCTACTCTCTAATCATCTCCGTCTTCATCTTCTCAAATTCTCTTATTCTCCAATATATGTTATTATTTTACTATTTAATATTTATACAAATATTATATCAACTTTATATTAATTATCTACTTATAAATACATATATTATATTAGTTATATTTCTTATCTACTTATATATTAATTATCTAGTTATATATTAATTATCTACTTTTAAATACATATATTATATTACTTATACTCCTTATTATGTGCTGAATATCTACTTATTATCTACTTATATTACCTATATTACAATTTACATCTACTTAATATACACTTTATATATTAAAGTATTGAATATAAGTGTATTACTCATCTTATAGTAGTATACTTATATATTATATACTATAAACATTATATTATATATTAGTTATACATTTATTATATCTACTAATATAGTTGGAATTATATATAATTATTTCGAAGTATATTAATTAGTATATTAAGTATATCTATATTAAGTATATATATACGATTTTTACTAATATATTACTTTTATAGTTTAATTACATCTAATTAATATATTAAGTATATATATATATATATATATATATATATATATATATATATATATATATAGGGGGAAGATCTCATGCAAACCATGCTTTAGGTGCAAACCTACTAACTCATGTCAGCCGTTGGATTGCAGGAAACAGACCGTTCCAGATTGGGTTGCATCATTAAATCTATGCACTCACACGCATAGAATTAAAAGCCTAAACAAACCTATGAACGCGCATTGAATTTTCAGGGTTAAAGAAGTCATTTAACAAAAAAATAAAGAAGCCGCGAAAATCAAATTGCGATTAAGTTTTGCAAACCCTGATTTTGACGATTACAATCCACGATCAGCAAACACTTCTTCTTCTTCCGGTGAAGAGTACCATCGATTTTAGAGTATGAAGCAAGGAATCCGGTGAACGTGTGCACCTAATCCGATTTCAGTGAAGGCAAGGCGAGTGACGATAGGTAGAAGGCTATGGCTTCAAGGAGAAGGTGCTCGTTTTACTCCTTGGTGTGTTCAATATGGTTGCATGTGTTATTCGAGTATTTAACTGCATAGTACTGGCAAATGTGTAATGAATAATGGCTGATTACAAGTTTGAATTGAAATTTAGATTTGGATATAGGTGTAAAACTCTGTTATTGATAAAATTTGTATGCATAATGTCAGATTAATGTATGTGATGGTTATTCGATGCAAGTTTTTTGCATACGACATGCAACACTTTGTTCGATGAATTTTGTCCAGTGTTTTGTGTAGGTATTTTTGTAACACAGTGCATGATTTTCATTTAATAAGAAGTTAGACGGAAAAAGTTTGCTTTTATATGCTGTTGTGAATGAAGTTAGGTGCAACACGACAGAAAATGAGCAATGTAGATAAATTAGATATACAGTGAAAGGCTTCGTGCAAGAGTTTCTAGTTTTATGATGCAGGGAGTTCACTAATTGCAATTGGAATGTGAAACTGATTTAAGATGCCATAGTTTAAGATGTAAGATGCAATAGTAAATGTTTTAAGATGCATGTGTAGTAGTTGTAAGATGCATTTGTTATGCTTATTGAACTTGGAATTTGAAAAGAATGTTTTATGCATTAGTATTAAAGTGAAGATGCAGAAGTTGCATCTACACTCAAATTATGTATTGTTATGCATGATTGTATGATAGCAGAAACAATTACACTCAAAATATGCACTTGTGTTAGTGAGGATGGTATATGCGTAAGGATTTCTTAAAAGATGCAAGTATAATGTAATTGCAATGCAGTAATTGAAGTTAATGGATGCATATATTTGAATTAATTTTAGTTGTTTTATTATGGAAGTTTTAATGAATTTTACTCATGTTGAAGTTTCTGGTTTTTGATGAAATACATTTGTAAGGTACATGATGCATGATTGTAACATGAATGTATTTTTACATGTTTCTATGAAAGTAGTTTAATTTGGTGCATCAGTTGTAGTTCCAATAAGCATTGGTGGAAAGAAATGGTAGTTTGAATTTTTAGTAATTGTTAATGTGATGTGAAAAGCTACACCCTGACATGTACATCTATGTAATAGAAAATGCAGAAGAGCAACATGTGAGAGGAGGAAAAAGAAAACAAGAAGGTGCATCAACTAGTAAGATGCAACAGAACAAAAAGAAAAAAGAGATGAGGAAAAATTTAAAAGGTTACACACATACACTATTCTACATGTAAGATGCATTTGATATTCTTTAAATCTAATTTGAAATGGTGTCATTAAATTTGGAGCAGATGCGCCTGTGGTGAAACGGGTTCGAGGCAGGATGCATATTCAGCGTGATGAAGTGCAGAGACCTAAAGTGAGGAGCAAAGGCATGAAGTTTTCTGTGTTATCACAGAGCACTGATGAAGGGCAGAAGGGTAAGAAAACAAATGTGAGTGACAGTGATGATGCTTTTGAAAGTCCTCCTGTATAACCATTATTTCATTAGTTAATTAGTACACACGAATTGTTTAATTTTTCATTAAAGTAGTTAATTACTTCATTACAATTTTTTATTAATTGCTACCTTTGACTCTACTTTAAAAACTAGTTAAGAAAGAAATAGGTAGTACAAAAAACTAGTTAATTTTTAGTTTTAATTATTTATTAAACAATAGTATTGATTAGTTCAAATAACTTGTACAAAAAACTAGTTAATTAATGACTCAATTATTTTTTGCTATAAATTTTTTACTCACATTTTATTATAATCGCATTTAAGTTCAATTCACATTTTAATTAAAGTACTTCACATTTCACTCGAATTGTTTTTAAAAAAAAAGTTAGAATTTTATTTGATTAAAGTAAACTTGTTACATTGAAGTATTAATTAAAATAATTTTAATTAGTTGCATTACTTGTGTACTCATTAATATATTTGTTGCAATTTAATATTTGTTACATTTTAAGGATGGAAGGTGGTAGATATTCGGTTGATATGGGTAACCTCGAGCGCAACCGAACGAACGAGATTGGGAGGAAGAAATCCTACAAAGGTAAATCACATATCGGCTCTTCATCTCAAAGCCGAGATGATTTTGATACCGCTCATACGGGTTACCAAAAGGAGTGATGGTATGGCTATGTCCGACGAACAACTAGAACAAGAATTGGCCCGACATAATAGCCGCTTTTTCCAACCACAACAATTCCCGACGACCATTGACGAAGAAGAGCTCGGGGACGATGATGTGGAGGAACTAGAACCGGAGATGCCCGAGGAGGAGGGTGGCGGAAGCCACGACGCCGACAAGTTTGGCTCATCCCAAACCGGTACGAAAAAAAGTAAATCCGAACTAATGCTTAATAATTTTGATAAGTGGAAGGACCCGAACACCGGGAATTGGAACGCAACTTGCAAGTGGTGCAAAAAAAATTATAGCTTGGGGATTTCCGGCGGATACGGATCCGCCGCAAGGCATCTTAAGGCCAAACACAAGGCGGAGTGTGCAAAATTAGGCGGCGGAACGGGGAAGCAAACTCAAATATCGAGGTTTGCAAATAACCTTTTGGCAATTTCTCATACAATGATGCACAAAATTTGACTGGTATGGCTAACTTACTTGTTGAATAAAATTTGTATTATTTGTTTTCTGAAAGTCTTGCTTTTAAAGATTATGCACAAACTTGTTTAAACCCTCAATATAGAGGTTATAGTCGCAAAACGGTTAAGAAATAAATTATAAGGCTTTATGGTGCGGAAAAGGCAAGGTTACAATTTTTTTTTGCAAACTTTGATGAGCGTGTTACTATTTGTTCTGACATTTGGGAGGATACTTATCATAATTTACATTATTTGGGTCCGACTGCACATTATATTGATAATGATTGGAATATGCATAAACGTGTTCTTGCTTTTCGTGAATTTAATGATCGTCACACCGCTGAACATATTTACATTTTGATTGAGCGTATTTTAATTGAGTATAATTTGAATGATAAAGTGTTTGCTATTGGTTTTGATAATGCTACTAATAATATTGTTGTTATACCTAGATTGCGTGAATTGTGTGGTTCTACTACTTTGATGGGTAGATTTTTTCATCAACGGTGTGCATGTCATGTTATAAATTTATGTGTGCAAGACATATTTGGGGTAGTGGTCAACTTAAATTAAAATGACAAAAATATTTGATAGAAAGAGGTGAGAAATATGTGGCTTTTCCTAAAGATTTGTCTATTCGTTGAATAGTACTTAAGTTAATTAGAGTTCTTCTTAGATATAAAGAACATTTTCCTGCTTTTTTAAAAGAATATGATAACTATATTATAACCTCGGCTGATATCGACACAACTGAAAAAAATTGTAATGCTTTGATATTTTTTTTTAATGCAACTGAAACTTTTAGTCATGTTTATAAACTTACATCAAACCAATTTATTCATGAAACTGTTAATCTCGCCGATGCTTTTAATGAATTTGAGAATGCCGCTTACGTGAGTTATTTTGCTGAAATTATGAAGGAAAAGTTTTTAAAATATTATGCACACATTCCGCATATTTATGGTATTGCATTTGTTCTCGATCTTCGTTTTAGACTTGATTCTTTAGAAGAATGTTTGAAGTAGAGAAAACTGTCAAATGAGCCCCCTTACTGTTTGAAAAAAGTCAATTGAGCCCCTCAACTTAAAAAACACTCAATCAGACCCACCAACCCATATAAAATTCTCAAATAGGCTTTTTAACCAGTCAACTTCCGGTTCTAGGTAAACTGCTTACGTGGATTTTTTTTCTCTCATTTCCTTTTTATTTTTGTTTTCCTTTTGCTCTGTCTTTCTGGTCAACCAATAGGCCCAAAACCTTTCATTCTCTTCTGCCAATACCAACCAACTCTCACTAGAACAGACTCCGGCTACCACCTCCGAGAGCTCCCCTCCGGCACCTCCATTGGAATGCTTCCCCGACCTCCATAGCATCCACCTCCGTGACCGGCCTCACGGCCCTCACCTTCGCCGCACTAGCTCCGTTCGCACCGCCTCCGGCCACCACAGCTGTGGCCTCGACCACCGCCTCCTCCATTGGAGCAACCTCCAAGTGCCCTAGAATCCATGGCCTCCACCTCCTTTCCTCCATTGAAGCAACGACCTCCAATTGCCCCGGCACCCATAGTCACACACCTCCGATCTGGGCATCTATTTCCGCCGTTTGAACCTCCAGAGTCACCGCCTCCACGGCCTGTTACTCTGGCTTAAGCACTCAAGCAACCTCCAACGTCCAAGCCTCCATAGACTGGTAGTAGATCTTCTAAGGAGGAGATTTAGGGAGAATACAACCCTGGGATCGGAGAAGATCGAAAGAGAAGGGGAGAAGGTAAATCGACACAGAGAAAAGAAAGAGAAAATAAAACAAAATAAAAAATATGGAAAACAGTATGTGAATGGCAAAAGAGAAAGAAATGAAGAAAACAAACACAGAGAAAGACGGAGAAGAAAGACGGTCCAGACGGATAAGGGAGAAATAAAAAACAAAAAGAAAAATTTAAATTAAAAGCCACGTAAGAAGTAATTTACCGGGTAACCGGAAGATAACAAGTTAAAAATGCCAATTTGAGAGTTTTATATGTGTTCATGGGTCTAATTGGGTGTTCTTTTAGTTGAGGGGTTCAATTGACTTTTTTGAACTAGTAAGGGGGCTTATTTGACAGTTTTCCCTTTGAAGTATTATTATCTTGCTTTTTTTTGTCCTTTTCCAATGTATGACGAAAGGTCAATAGATCCAAAAAAAGAATACAACGAGGTTAGTGAATTATTTTATGCCTTATTTAATGAGTTTCATGCACAATATGACAATGCGCCCGCTCCCCCGACACAAACATCTTCATCTAAAGGAAAATCAATTTTTAAATCTACGTTTGTCAATCTTATGAAAAAAACTAAAACAACTCACGCTACTCAACAAAGCACAATTAATGAGATTTCTTTGTATTTAACATATGACGTTGATTTTGAAGAAGATGATGAATTTGACGTTCTAAACTGGTGGAAGGGAAAAGAAAGAATGTTCCCAGTTTTAGCAAAGATGGTTAAGCAAGTGCTATCAATGCCGGTTTCAACAGTTGCCGTGGAACAAGAATTTAGTTCGGCCGACAACGTCCTAACGCAATCTAGAACGAGCTTGAGCGTAGAATCTCTTGAGACACTTATATGCTACCACGATTGGTTGAAGGCGGCCCGTAGAGCTCAAGAAATAAGCATCACCCCCTCCCAACACTTTATGGATGAATCAACAACCGATGGTGGCTCTACCTATGCCGGAGATTCCGATTGATTAGTATTTTAAAATTTATTATAAAATGTATTTCATGTTTTTAATTTTTCCTTCAATTCTCAATTGTAATTTGTAAACTTGAAGTTCATATTTCAAATAAATATACATTTATTTTTTATATGTAGTACTTCTCAATTTAATTAATTGGTTACAACTTACAATTAAATTTCTAAAGGGTGTTTTTAAATTAAAAATAGCTTTACAATATGTATTAGTATAAATACACCTATTTTCTAAGTAAAAATAGCTTTACTTAATTAATTAAAGTAATTAATTAATTTTACAATATGTAATTTTCAAAAAAAGAAAACTTTAAACAAACACCTACCATCTCCCAAACGGCTATATAGCCGTTGGGAGGTAGGCCTCTAACATATGGGGTCCGGGGGGTAAAAAATTTCTATAAATACACATATTTTCTAACATTTTTCTACACCTCTTCTCCAATCTCCATCTCCATTTATTCTAGACTTCTAGTATTTATACAATTAATATTATATCTACCATTTTTAAGATGGAAAGTCAAAATGCCGTTATCAAAAATAATTTTTTTAGGTGGAAGAACCCGACGACCGGAATGTCGTACGCAACTTGCTACTGGTGCGGGAAAGTGTTTAGCTTGAGACTTTCACATGGTTACGGGATGACCAAGAAACATATTAAATCCTGTGACAAAGACAAAGGCAAGGAAAATTCCGATTGATTATTAATTATATTATTATTTATTAGAAAATATACTACGTATTTCATATTGTATTTTTTCTCAATTCTCAAATGTAGTTCCTATTTCAAATAAATACACTTGAAGTTTGTTTTTAATATTCATCACGGGTTATTTTCATATACCTCCCTTGAGGTTTAGGCATTTGACACTTTGAGTCAAAGTATCAATATATTATAGATCAGCCCCCTCTACTATAACATACATGCATGGCAGAAGGGGTCACCCCTACTTAACCAAGACTACCAATTTTTTCAAAAACTAAGACAAGGAAAAATAGACACATCAGTGTCTTCTAATAATAGTACTGTAGCATAACTACATAAATTATGTAGCAAATCCATTTCATTTTCATACCAAGGAGTATTAAAACTTATAGGAAGTACTACATAGTTTTTATAATATTTCATATCACATCAATATTGTATATCAAAAGTTACTAAAACATTTGAAGTTTCAACTATTAGAGTTTTGTAGACTCAGAAAATATGAAATTCAAAATTTTAATCCATGGCTCTTCCATAAATAGTAGAAATTTACCTGAACTTATTTTTTTTATTAACCAAAAAATAAAACAAAAGTTAATGATATTTTTTTTATTTTTAACATCGAAATTTGTATTTTCTAATTACATAATAGTTCAGAAAAATAAAAGAACAAAATAACTTAGAATAATTTAACTATGGGAAAATGGAAACTAATAATCCAACCTTTTAGCGGTCTTCTATTAATAGTCCCACCTTTTCGTTATTCATGAATAATCCAACCTTTGCACCTCATCTTCATTCACTGGTCCCTGACCGGTTGATGACCTGCTATTCCAAGTTATTTTCTTATCTTTGCAAAATATTATCTTTGTGAAAGGTGGAATTTATGGTATAATAGTTTGCAAAGATAAGAAAATAACTCGGAATAGCAGGTCATCAACCGGTCGGGGACCAATGAATGAAGATGAGGTGCAAAAGTTGGATTATTCATGAATAACGCAAAGGTCGGACTATTAAAAGAAGACCGCTAAAAGGTTGGATTATTAGTTTCCATTTTCCCTTTAACTATTGGTTTACTAGACTAATATATAAGAAACATGTTGAGTGTACTTTATTGACAGTATTCGAATGTAGGGAAAATGGTGTTGACAGAGTCTATACATTATTTTTTCATATCGACAAAGTCCATATTTAAATTTTAAGATGGCTTGGTGCATGCATGTAGATGGCCCAGTATGCAATCCCGGGAGAGATACTGCTATCATTGACGTAGGCACGATGATATACCGAGGTAGGGTGGCATAAACAAAACTTTGAAATAATTTTACGTAATTTTTTAAACGGTGAATGGATGATTTTAAAATTTGAAATGGGCCGCAGCCTAATACACCACATAAATACGTCTAGACCTGTAAAATTTCCGGCCCGCGAAGACCTGCACTAGCCTGAGACACTTGGGGTGGGTCCACTTTGCACTGACCTACCCTACTTAATACTTCCTCCGTCCCTAAAAGAACTTCCAACTTTCCCTTTTCGTCCGTCCCAAAAAGAACTTCACTTTCCCTTTTTGGTAAAGAATTTGTGGTTCACAGCATTTCTCTCTCCTCTGCACAACTCTCCACCACACAATTCCTACTTTCTTAATCAGTGTGCCACTTTATTTTGGAAGAACATTTAGGGACGCAGGTAGTATATACATATACATATATTCGTATTTTTCAAAACTATACCATCAATGAGCTAAGTTCTTTTGAGAAATATTACCGAGATAAAATTTATTTACAAAAAATACTACGTAACTAATAATTACTATAATTTCATCTCATAGTCACTTAAGTTTAAAAATCAAACATATATGACTAGAACTATGTTACTATTATAGTCACTATACACTTAAGAAGGAGTTTTTTCCCGGAATAATGCTGCATAAATAAATAATTCCCAAAATACTGCTGGGTTAAAAATAATTCCCAAAATATTGCTGGGTTAACTGTGGTTAAGGAAAGCCGCCACTTGAAATGGCGGCTTTTCTCTACACAGTACAAGAGCCGCCACTTGAAGTGGCGGCTTTTCTTCAAGCATAAAGCAACACACTTACATAACATACATGCTCAAGTCTAACAACAAATGCAGTGGGACCCATCCAAAATTAAAAATCCCCTGTTTTCTTTGAACTGCTGTAACTTTTTTATTTGTACTCTCATTGTTACAAAAAATATATCAATATTCATAATTTTTTATTATCTTTCATATGACACCAATATTGAATATATAAAATAAAAAAATAATTTAACACTAAAAATATAAAAACTAAAAATTTACATTTTCAGAAACTACATTAAAACCGCTATTTTTAGCTGTTTATCAATTTTAAAATAGACTGGTTAAATCACTCTTAATCTTTTAGTTTTTGAAAATAGACTGGTTTTTGAAAATTGATAAAGATTAAGAGTGATTTAACCAGTCTATTTTAAAATTGATAAAAAGCTAAAAATAGCGGTTTTAATGTAGTTTCTGAAAATGTAAATTTTATTTACTAAAATAAACCGGGTGTGAACATGGATCGGGTTGTTTTATCGTCAGTCAAGCATCGTAAAGTGTACGAGAAGTTTATTTAGGACCGGAGATAGTAATTTTTAGTGTTAAATTATTTTTTTATTTTATATATTCAATATTGGTGTCATATGAAAGATAATAAAAAATTATGAATATTGATATATTTTTTGTAATAATCAAAGTACAAATAAAAAAGTTACAGCAGTTCAAAGAAAACAGGGGATTTTTAATTTTGGATGGGTCCCACTGCATTTGTTGTTAGACTTGAGCATATATGTTACGTAAGTGTGTTGCTTTATGCTTTAAGAAAAGCCGCCACTTCAAGCGGCGGCTCTTGTACTGTGTAGAGAAAAGCCGCCATTTCAAGTGGCGGCTTTCCTTAACCACAGTTAACCCAGCAGTATTTTGGGAATTATTTTTAACCATAGTCATTTTTTGTAAACAATACTCCCTCCGTACCGTAAAATAGTTCCCGGTTTCTGTTTTGGGCCGTCCCAAAACAAAGTTCCCATTTTCCTTTTTGGAACGTTTTTTTGGCTATCATTCATTTACATTTTTTTGTACTCACTTAATCACAATCATACATTTTCACTTTATTATCACTTTCTTAAATGTCGATCAAAATCAATTCGGGAACTATATTATGGGACGGAGTACTAATTTCAATCACATATATGTAACATGTAATTATTTCTACTACAAGTATACATATACTTTTATTAGGCACAAAAAGAAAATGTATAATTGACGAAGCAGAAGAGAAAAATAAAAAATAATAAATATTAAAACATAAGATGTTACAAAATTTAATTTATCAAAAAGTGAAATGATTAAATGATGAATACGTATAAATGGCTTCCAACCTACTCATGTACTGTATTTAAGTATTAGGGAGAAGGGGCTAATCGATAATATATTGATTCTTCTTCTTAAAGTGTCAAATACTCGAACCTCAAGGGAGGTATTTAAAAATAACCCTATTCATCACTTGTATAAATAAGTAGCAAAAAAGGGGAAAAAATTATAGTGACCCGACCCGGCCTGGCGGGTAGCCCAGACCGTGACCCGGACGGGTGACCTGGCCCGAACCGGCACCGGCCAAAGGACGGGCTGGTCCCGGGCCCAGCTATTCGTAACCGGCGGCCCGACCGGGCCTAAGCCCGGCCCGGGCCCAAGCCCGGCCCGAGTATGTGGCAATGTGCTATAGTATAACAACTGTTAAACACAGCTAACAATTTTCTATAATTCCTGATTGTACCCTTGTTTTGAAGCATCAAGAACAAGTTAGGACAGTAATACAATGTCCAGTTATGCCTAGTATTAAAATTTATATAGAAAAAGTACATCTTACAAATTTCAGAAGTAGATGGATAATACATCAAATTAAATTTATTAAATATTTTTACAATATTTTTAATAGCCTTATTTTTTCATTGTCCCAGACTCCCGAAAGTATAAAAGCCACGACCTGGCCTTAAGATTCCCTTGGAAGGTGGAATCTTATAGTGTTGTCCACATTAGACAGTACAATAGTACATAATCAGTACATACATGCAACTTTCACTTAGCAAACCCCATTCATAAGAACTTTATACAATACATTGAATGTTTGGGGATGTTCGATTTTGAAAAGTTGAGGAAACCATCCCTTAACAGATTTCATAAGAATACAGATTGGGCAACTAGAATGCCACTGAATTCTGAATTCTGAATTCCATTAAAACT